TTTCCAGTCTATATTTCAGCTGTTTCGCGAATCCATTAAAAGGAATTTTAATAGTATGTATTATTGCAACTCGTATCAACTCGACCTGCCGTTTTTCAACAGGGAGGGCAAAATTTTGATCCATTTATGCCAAAAAAATGAAATTTATCGCTATGTTTTCACGATTAAAATGTATCAGATTCAATTTTCCTGGACTATATCCGGAAATTTTCAAGTCATTACATTTATGTATCGACGAGGAGTTGCATTCTTCTATTTTTGATTCCTTTGTAATTTTAAAAAATGCGTCTCGGTAGGGAAACATCGTTGCCAGGACGACCCGTTTTCTCTACAAAATGTATTGTGGAGAAATAAATTCGCTTCCGGTGCAGCGAGCAAAAATGCAAAAATGCGGAAAAAAATATTGTGATGACGCGATCAATTCATATGACACACGGGAAACAATGACTGAGGTTAATAAAGATTTTCTAAGACTACGACGCATCTTACACATTTGGTTCATCCGATTCTGAGGGTACTTTGTAGAGTATAGAGATAATCATTCCCATTGATGTCGTTTCGATTCCATTACTGCAGTTTTTAGCTAATTTTTGTTTCGCAATGATCTCATCTTCGCGAGGACTCGAAAAATGTACTAGCAAAAATCTCTGTTTCAAATTATTGTGTCTATTTTTTGTAAAAAGTCTGTAGTCGAGGCTTCAAATTTTTGTTTGGCGCATTTATGAGGCATAAATCTACAACTATAATGAATTTTTTGCGAAAGTACCGCGAATGATAAGGCATTCATCTGGGAAAATTGCGTCGTCAAGACGCAATTGCACGATGGGGTTAGGTTTTTAACGATTTCAGGTTATACGGGATATTATAGACACTCTTTCAAAAAACAGACTACTTGAAACTGGATTAATTTTTAAAAATACACTAAGGCTTTTCCAATTTTCGTGTGGAAATTTTGCTGGCATCGCATTTTAAAAGCGTTGATTTTTTCTTTTTTCCAAAGCATATGTAATCGCGCTGGTCTTTATATTATCCTCGAATTTCAAAGTGAACGATACATGTTTATAAATGACGCAATATTTATGGCGTAATTTATTTGCAAATTTATTAAAGAATTCTTTGATTGATTCGGAAAATATTCGCCATTCTAAAAACTCATCTACAGTACCACAATATTCATCGGAAAGGGGGATTTTGGGGGGCCTGGGACCAATTAGACATTCCAAATAAATATTCCATGTTTTTTTTCAGATTCATTTCGTATAATAATTTATTCGCCGAAATCTTGAAGCATATGTAGTTGATTAACCATAAGGCATCACGATGTTACAGTATTCGTGGAATACATTTTTTAATATTATTATTGTGGATATTTTTCCCTATATTTTTGCAGTTCCCACTGTGACTCCCATGGAAAATTCTGGTAGCTTTCGAAGAAAAGACGACTGAAGAGAAAATAACGGGAAAAGAAGAGTCATGTCGATTCATTCGGAAACATATGCGACGGAAACCCTCGTGTGAAGGAATCCGACCAACGGTTCTCTTCAAGTTCCATCGCATGGATGAACGGCTATATGATTGTTTTACCGACAGTGAAAGGCAAAGAAACCCTCACAAAAAAAAGCACCCTGCAACTTGGGCACTTTCATCTTCAATCCCTTCCCCTTGAAACGTAAACGTATGTTTCTGCTTCATTCGTTCTGAAAAAGAATTAAAAGAGAGGAAAAAACACGAATGTATTGGATTACAGTATTATCATTTCTATTATCAGGGGTTTCTACATACATCGTCACAGGAGGAGGCCATTAAAAAGAAAACCCTATACTTGGCATGCGACTTGTTTAATTCAAATTTCTTCAAGATCAATAATTATTGGGCACAAAAGGCCTCAATATAATTTGATGTCAAGTATCTAATTGATGAACAATAAAACAAGTTGATCAGTCCAGGACAGGACCATAGGATTCCAGAATTCATACGTTGAAGGGATAAACTGTATTTCACACAAGTATAAACAAATAAATGACTCAATGAGCTTGACTTGCAGGAATAAGTTTGGGAATAACTTGAATAACACAGTTGAACTGAATCTCATCTGTTTCTATTGAGAGAAGAGCTGCTTATATGTGACAAATAATATTTAACCTTCAATAAGTTTTACTCTACCATTGAAGTAAGAAAGCTAATGTTGAATATGCTGTGGTGCCAGGATGTTCCTGGCACTGCGATTTTGAGGAGGGGGAAATACTTCTATACTTCCAGGAATTATTTTGGAGTACGTTACTGTACATGGCATGCATGCTCAATAATAATAATTGTAGCAACAGTGAAAAATGGGTTGTCTCAGGTCATCATAATCAGTAACTTCAGCAGATAAAAACAGAAGTACAGTATTGAAACATGTCCGTAATTCGAATCACAGCCAAACCCTCGGGGAAGGGGGCTACATCATTTTGGCATTCTTTTGTTCGAGATAATTTTTGTTTTTCTTTGAAATTTTGGATCAATTACTCAATATAGGTACCGCGAATAATATTCCGAAAAACTGGATATAAAATTGTGATTCTAAGGCGTGCGTTAAGCTGAGAATGGATCACGTGATATGCCTTCGAAAATCTCTTTCAAAGACACGCAAACATACTTTGTATGAAGAAATAAATTGACAGTTGCGTGTGAACTAAAGCTTCGCCAAATTAAACAACAAAATAACACATATAATAAGGAGAGAAAAAAAAACCAGGACAACGTAGGTTAAAGGAGTCTTTCACACTCATGAGGTTCAACTTGAAAAAAAAAAGCTGTTCGTCTAAAACTTCGATTCGTGTTTGCATTTGTTCAACATGGTCATGATCCTCGCACATTCCCGCGATCATATTCATGCAATTCTCCCTGCAAAAAAATCAGCAGTATACATTCGCGTTTCGTCAATATACATACGAAAATATTAATCCGCACTGCTTCAGTCCTGAATTTTAGGTGTATGAGAAGTCAAGATCACGCGAAAATTGCAATCGAACCAGTCTTCAATTTCGTTTTCAAAAACTTTGATCCAACTCATATTTTTATCCTCCAAAAGGTTTTCAGCTTCTCATATCTTATTTTATGCAGGCCTCAAGTGCATGAGGTTCCTCTTTTGCATAACTAAATACAGTATTTTCTTAAATAAGTATTAGTTTCATAAAATTAGCGGACTGCTGGTGCCGTTTATAGGCCGCAATAAGAAATGTGCGTTCGGAAAAATGTGGCCTTTAAATTATTCCTGGTGAAGTCGCAGTTTTGGGTACATTTTTCGCAGTGCTGAAACACGTGGGCCGCTTTTCTTCAAAGTGAAAATGCGTTTTCTGTTTCAAAACTTCCATTCAATTTGCAGCCAAAAATCAAGCTCGTTAATTCGTTATCTATTTTTGATAGAAAGGAAACTTCTTAAATATAGAATAATATTGTATCCTATTTCCCACAAGAAGGACGCATCATTTAAATTATGAATCCCTCAATCGTCATCCTAAATCAGTAGCCATATTGAAAATAGTCAATAATTGCAGTATTTCTAGAATGTTTTCCTGTGATGTGGACCGGATTTGATATGACGACGAACCCACGTAGCTCTTTTGAAGGATTGCATAATCGTTTTCCACGATTGGATCATCCAAAACAACATGTACGTACAGAATAGAAATAAAGAACAAGACTTTCTTGGTCTTGGCGTTTAGTTTCTCACGCCCACGCGGATATTTTCCGCAGAATTATTCCGGGTTATGGAATTAATTCATTTCCTTCTGAGTTCACTCAGGTGACAAACTATTTCCTCATTTCCTCATCGAAACGCGAGCGTTGTTTCCTTCATTATTGCTTCATTCAAGTAATGCCTAAATATTACGAGTCTGAATCCCAATCAACGGGTTTATTATCTCAGATATTCTTCATCCATGGATTCTGCGGATGTACCGCAGCACAGTACTCACAAATTCGAATGCGTGTGTTGAAATTGAAAGAAACGCAACTTTAACGATTGCGTTGAAAAGGATGAACAAGTTAGTGGCTATATAGGTAGAGATGAGTTGAAGATGATACCTGAAAACTCGATTATATGCGTGACTAAAAAGTAAATCTATATTTTCACAAAATGTATCCTTGATTGAAAGTGAGAGTTTAAAAGGCAGTTTGACAAACATTCAGTGGGTGAGGGGTTTCTGAAAAATATGAATAAGTCATCAAGCTATGCAAGGTGCTTTTTGTGCCCCCAAAAAATTACCATGGCAACAAGCAAATATATATTAATAAGGCTCTGCAATGAAGGTATCTACAATTCAAGACCTCATTTGCCAATTTTTGTCTATTTTTCATTCCAGAGCAACATGTTTTCTGAAGTCAATTCACCAATTCTGTTGGAAAGTTTGAAATTTTTCTGTTGGTTCTTTGTAGTTTGACATGATGTTTTTTTGACTGATTATCATGCATTCATTGGCGCAAACAGAATGAGAAATATGGACACCTATGAACAAAAGTACAGTCAACCCCTGTCTAACAGACTCAATTTGTGCAATGGACAATTGTCTGTTAGACAAAAAGTCCTCAAGACTAATTCAATTACGTAAAAAAAAATTAAAACTTTGGATTGTCAACACAAATGAAAAAAGATAAGTCTGTTAGGTGGATTTTGTCTGTTGAGCAGATGAAAAAAAATGCCTGAAGAGCTGGTCTGTTGGGGAAAATCCCTTACGCAGGAGGTCTGTTAGGCGGGGGCCAATCTACTGTGTTCCTAAATCATTTTCATGACTACAATAGACAATTGAAAGTAAACTAATTTTGAAGTAATCATTAATACAGTATTTACTCACTGTAAATGCAATAATATCAAAATCATTCACACACGGCTTTTTTCCAGCTGACGATGCGAACATCCGTCAGCTGGTGCTTGTATAGTTCATATAAAACTTTTTTTTTCGTAAATGCTTTGCTTCAAGCCAAGCAGAGCACCTTCTACTCAAAATAAATATCTACGATTGCAAAATTATTCAGTTAAATAATACGAGACACACTATTTGAAGTCTTCCGTCAATTTTTCAATTCTGAATAATTTCACAAAATGATGACAAGTAACTTCAGTCAGTCGCACAAAAAATCTTTCTAGAGCCACATCAATCTCGAAGTATTTCATACATAAACACAAACACTTCGACACAAAAAAAATCCAGACCGTCAAGATGCGACAATGCAAAATGAAGAAGCGGACGGTATAGAGGATGCGAAGGAATAAATTCTCTTCAAATTAATCTTCAAAATGAAAAAATTGTTCGATTAATACCAATTCCATCCTTTTCTTTTCAGATGAAAAATCAAAATTTTTAACTGCGCAAGTTGAATTCACATCATAAGGACGATTCGCAGTAAACTGCAAATAATTATAATAAATAAGATTTTTTCTCAAAAACCTATGTTTCAAAAATGTTTCGACCACCGGGAGCTAAAATTCAGCACAGATCGACGGACTTGAATTACGCCAACACGCATTTCAACATCATTACCAGAGTTTTCCTACAATTTTCTTTTTCCAAAAAACTGAGAAGTGGGGAAGGGGCGGGGGAGGGTGTGATACACATTCAACTGTAATAAATCAAAACATAATAAGTCAGTAATCACGCGGTGCAATTGATCAGTCTACCAATTTGATCAAAATGGTATTTTCATTGGCGTCTCCTGCAAATTTTTCTTTCGTTCGCCGCATGAGTCGCAAGTCGTTGTGCCTGTAGTGTTCCACAAGGTCCTCCAGGTACTCAAAACTCTGCTGAAAATAAGTTCGCATCATTTGAAACGGGATGCAATAATGGGGATATAAGAATAAACATAGCGAAATGTTATTGAATATGAAAGACGGCTGAGCGAAGCTGGAATAAGTTAACTTATTAAATTATTTGCTGAAGTTCCGCGTGCACTCTTTTTTTCGCAATAAACGAAGAGAGGGTTTGCGTCGTGGTCAGGTGTAGAATTTGTCAAGTTATTCATTGAATTTTAATTCTTTGTATGCATACTCGATTCCAACGAAGGATTTCTGACCTATTTTTCAAAGAGAAAAAAATTGCTCATGGAGGAAATTCGAAACTACAGCTTAACATCCCAAATTGGTACAATTCATGTCTAAATTAAATTTCTGGCGTGTTTTATTTTCGAAGTACAGTCAAATCCGGTTGAGATGCCCTCATGAATATATAAGCATTTACCCTTGACAATAACTGCCAATCTTTTTGAAGAAAAAAAATCTTCCCTATTGTCAATAACATTGGAAGCTCCATTTAAATGCCATTTGTCAAACTATTGAAAACTCAAATATGCTCCTGCCAAGTAATTTTTGCATTTCATAGCCCACCTACAAGATTCAAGTTTCCCTTAGATTTCTCCAATAAAAAAAAGCAAACACATCAAATGACATCGTCTCTTACTTTTCCGGAACATTAGCTGGACAGAATCTGCGCATCCCGGGGTTATTGTGTTTTTTTTTCTGGAAGAACAAAACTTTTTTTTTCCTACCTGACATGATTTGCATATGATTTTAGTTTATTTTTTTACGAATGCCAACTCCATCAAACTGCTACAAACTTGACATCCATGAAATAGTGGCAGCTCATCAAGATTTGACTGTACAGGATTTCAATTTTTTCAACTCAATAGAAAAAATTATGGGCGCATTTTATTCAGACAAGATGAATTTTTATCCAAATTTTTTGGAACAGAAATTTTGGTACATGTACCTGTCTTATTACTTGAAGGCGCGTGGAACTCAAGTGAATACTGTACATGGTATGAAGAATAATCTCGGTATACCTTCTTTTTCTTTGTGCAATTTTGATTAGCCACGAATAAACAGTGCACAATATCCCGCAACGATTTCATACTCACGGGCATATCTGGATTTTGCGAAATGCTATAGCATCCATTCTCATCCCTGATCTCCAGTTTGAACACCCGTTTAAAATGATACACACACAGTGTATAAGGCTGAATATCTCCACCACGTTGACTTCTTCTGATGGAAAATCCACCATCGACCCCTCCTGCAAAAAAAAAAAAAAAAGCAAAAACGTGGAAAATGGAAATCACAAATATTTTACAACACGGAAGATACTCGCAAATGCTATTTTCTTCACAATGTTTCACACAAGAAAAAAAAATGCTCCAATCTGTGGCATATTTATTTTTTCAGAAAGCTCTTCAGACTTTTCAAATGAAATGTAGACGTACTTGACAATAGGCTGCAATGTGCTGGTGACTGACCTACGTTTCAAAAGTTAATTTTTTTTCATTTTTACGCCTTTATATTGACTATCTATATATGAAATGTGAAGGTGAACAATTATAGGTTTTGAAATATTTTTCCTTCTCATCAGAGCACAACTGCATCTGCCGAATATAATAGTTATACAGTCAACCCCAGTCTAATGGACTTGATTTGTGCAAGGGACGAGTCTGTTAGACGAAAAGTCCTTTACACAAATTCAATTACATAGAAATTAAAATTTTCAATTTTCAACACTAATTTTAAACCAAAAGAAGTCTGTTTGGTGGATTTTGTCTGTTGGGCAGGAGGAAAAACTGCTTGCAGAGCTGGTCTGTTTGGCAAAAATCCCTTACACGGGAGGTCTGTTAGGCGGGGGCCACTGTACTTTTTCCAATTCACTTGATCCCAATAAAAATCAATTCGTCCGCCAATTCCCATGGATATTTCGCATAATGTACATTAAATTCCAGATAAAAAATCCATTAATGCGATTTTACAAATGAGCTGCCCAAGTTCAAACCGTTTTTTTTTCAGATATTCTCGCTATTTTAATTCAAATCCAAATGACTTGCCGTCTTTATAAGCAAAAGTGCATTCCTTCAATTGTAGGATGTGAAAGTGCCAAGAAAAAAATTCCCGAAATTTACTGAAAAGTGGGTGTTGGACAATTATACTAAACTACTAAAGGATTCTCACTGGATTTCAACGCTTCCACAATGTTTCTGTCGGGCACGTCCTGCAGCCACTTGGGTTGACGAACGATTCGATTTTTTGGCCAGGAATATTTCGAAGAAGCATTTTTGCTGGGGTCTGACGCTTCGCTCGGATCACCGGAGGTACGAGACGAATCTACTGAAACTGAAAGAAGCGTCATCTAGTGAATCTCATGTATTCATACGCAATGAGATAACGAAGCGCGTCAAGTAGATGTCACTCAAAATGTGGAACATACTGGAACGATGGTCGAGCGTAGCAGCAGACCACAGAAACTCAGCAGAATTTCGTGAGGAGTTCGAGGCGCTGTGGTACGGAACGTGAGGAGGCAACCCAGGATTGCCATTTGACGAGGCATCGTTATGGCCTTGCTTCGGCTGGTCCTCCAATGTATCAGGAACTCGGATAACTGGGCCGTGGTCAGGTCCTATTGTGATTCGAAAAAAAAATAAAAAAGAGACAATCACGTATCATCACAATGTGTCACATGTTACGTTCATCATCCGGTTTGCTTCGAAAACGAGATCTTTGACATCTTCAGGTCCCTTCGGAATCTCTGGATACGATCGAAAAGCTGAGAATTTTCGGGCACATCTGCTGCCTCGTTTGTACTGGCGTTTACTATTAGCTGGATTATTGAGCTCAATTTTAAACTGTAATTGGATTATGCCGATGGAACTTCGGCAGTGAACCTGAGATTCCATGTTGTTTCCGTTTTCAGGAAAATGGCGCATTTTTATAAGATACTTCAGAAAAAATAAATGTAGAATAGCAGAAATAAAATTCTTTCAATGAACCCCAACAGCATAGAAAAAAGGCAAGGTTAATGCAGGAATGTATTCTTTCCTTTGGATGTAGAGAAGAAATGCGAGGAAAAATTTCACACCGATTTCAAGTCATCCTAAATATATTATAGACGTCTCTTATTCGTGGATGCCATCTCTAACTTTTTTTTTTTAATCTACGAAACCTCTTAAATGTCCTTGCTATTTTATTGATCAACAAGGTGGCACCAGTGGTCAGGAAAATACGATGATTAGGATTCTAGTGCGAAAAAGAATTTCAGAAACGAAAAAATTGCGTGCGCTCTGAAATTGTGAAAATTTTACTCAAACCAATTTAATCGGATATACTTCTCCGTTTTTTTTAGTGTTGCCTCCAACTTTTAGTTATCTACGAAACCTTTTTTCATCCACCAAAAAATCACGATATGTTCAGTCTGATATACTGCATTCGGATGCATAAATATACTCAGAGATCTCTTTTTTTGTTGGAGTTGCTGGCACAGGAATGTTCTAGCTATTCCATGAATCAGACAAATAGGACATGGGTCGGAGAGATGCGGTGATCGGAATTCTACTGCAGGAAAACCTTTTGAAAATTCAAAATACTGTAGTTGTGCTAGCCCTGATATTGGAAAATTTTGGCACGAACCAAATTCATCCTAGACGTCTCCAATTTTTCGGTTTTGTTTCCAATTTTTAAAAAGTCTAGGAAACTTTTTTCTAAGTCATTTCATAACAAGTCACGATGTATGGACTGTTAGTGTATATTCAGATGCATTTTTGATCGAAAATTAAATATTGGGAGTTTATTTGGCACACGGATGTCTTCAGTATTTTATTACCAATCAGCGAAATAATGGCACCCGCGACCAGAAAGATACGATTATCGGACTTCTACTGCGAGGGATAAATACTTTAGAAATTTCAAAATAATCGCGTTCAAAGTTCGCTTTATGGAAATTTGGCACGAACCAAATTCATCCCAGACGTTTTTAATTTTTCGGGTGTGTATCCAATTTTTTTAAATCTAGGACAATTCTTATTTATTTCCTAATAATATATATCAATATATGGACTGGTACTGCATATTAAGAATTGCATTTTTGATCGAAAATTAAATATTGGGAGTTTATTTGGCACACGGGTGTCTTCAGTAGTTTATTACCAATCAGCGAAATAATGGCACCCGCGACCATAAAGATACGATTATTGGACTACTACGAGCAATAATTTGGAAATTTCAAAGTACTGTATAATCGCGTTCAAAGTTCGCTTTACGGAATAATTTGGTACGAACCATACGGAATAATTTGGCACGAACCAAATTCATCCCAGACGCCTTCAATTTTTCGGATTTGTTTCCAGTTTTTATTTTTAATCTAGGAAGCTTTTTATTTATTTATCCATAACAAATCACGATATACGGGCTGGTACTGTACATTAAGAATTGAATTTGTGATCGGAAATTAAATATTGGGAGTTTATTTGGCACACAGATGTCTTCAATAGTTATTACTGCTAACAGCGGAATAATGGCACCCGCGGTCAGAAAGATACGGTTATCGAACTTATTACTATTACGAGCAATAATTTAGAATTTTCAAAATATAATCGCGTTCAAAGTTCGCTTTACGGAATAATTTGGCACGAACCAAATTCATCCCAGGCGTTGCAGATTTTGCGGTGCAGCCTCTGGATCCACTTCTCCTTGGCTATGATAACTTCGTCTCTCGCACCTTTGCCCATTCTTCGCGCGCACGAGGCAACCAAGTGCCCCCACATATTGCACGGGCACAAGCACATCGTCTCAATTTATACCCTAGGATCCGTGTCCCTCTCTTTCTCCTTAAACTGGAAATTTCCGCAGACCGCCAAAAAACCCAAGGAAAAAATAACACCACTCCTGCATATGATGCAGCTGCGTAATGCTCTTACGTCAACCGAATTTGCACGACATTTTCCTCCCGAAACTATGCGAAAAACGCATTCCTCGGCGTCAGATGCGTATAGTATGGGATTTTCCGTGCATGTCCACGTGCATGCAGAGGATATGAGCGAAAAACCTGACTCACATTCCTTGACATTTAAAATATTTTTTTTTGTAGTTTTTTTTTTCATGCGATCCTACGTCAGCAGGAAGTTGCAATGCTTTGGTATGCGTGGTCATCCGCGTCATCGTGAATGCCTCGAAAAAACCGTGAGCTGTTCGGTTAGTGTCAGTAAAAAAAAAAATTTGTTTTTGCTCGGAAAAGGACTGGAACAATCGCCTTCATCTACAATTGAGAATGCATTGCAGTATTTTGCATAAAGCAAATTTTATTTCAACATCCACTTGATGATTTCTTCATCAAGTTGATTTCCAGGATTAGCTACTGTACTTGCATTGTCTTCCGGACTTTTATAGTTATATAAGTTGAATTGGAGCAATAAAGGCTAAGTTCTGTGGCAGTGTATTGGGCATTGAGGAAGGATTGCAAAGGAACTCAATTGATTCCAGCAGCCAGGCAGTTTGTAGCTCAATAAATACGGCATTCGTTGTCAAACATATTTTTGTTCAAACCGATATGCTGGGAAATAATTTAATTGGCTAACAGTAAATCAAGATAACATTTCAAAAGATGAACAGAAAAAATTCAAATGTTCTTCTACGGTGGAACTTGAAATTCTCTTAAGTGTACTAATATTTTAATCGACGTATTTTTCTCGCCTGGTAATTTTTAAAGTCGAAGTTGTTTTTAAGGCGAAATAATGTTCAAGAAAATATTTTTTTGTTTAATAAATGTATTGCTTGGGGTGTTTGTTGCTCAATAGGGTGGTAAAAGTACCCACTGAATAATATATTCTGTTGAAAAGATATTAAGGCTATTGCTTCAGAAACACCATAGAATGCTTTCCCATTATAACAGAATTGGTTGTCAATACATTTTTCAAGTCATCACAAATGATGTTTTTTGACAATTTTTCCCCTTGTTCTCCTCATATATTCAGGTATAATTGTATGCAGAATTTCTTTCAAAATTTCGCTATACATTTGAAGGGAACCATTCTCGAATAAAATTCACCGCTCAGTGCTCAGAACAGGGTTAAAATGTTGCAGATTACATGAAAAAGAATTTCCGACGGAGGATGTTTTGCTCGGTAATTTTTGTCTTGTTTTTAAGGCACAAATAATCGCTGTATTCTGATGGGAAATTTGATTTTTGTTGAATAATGTGCTGCTTTCGCCATAACTCAGCTATGAAGAAACAAATCTTTTCCGATAGTGCTCCTGGAATTTTTTATGGACTCATCAGAATAGCTGGATGATGTTCGTGCCGATGAAAAGATTTAATCTGTACTCATCCAGCCCATTTGTGCACCAACTTAATCAACAAGAAAATTAAGTTCAAGTCAAGCATTTGCTACAAGTGAAATTTTTATTATTTTTTCAATGCGTCGTCATTGAGAAAAATTTTCGCATATCAAGCCTGACAAACGCCTGCATGGACACCACGATCAGAAGCATTTGAAAGTCAAATGGTTTCAATTTTTGTTCTTCTACACCTGTTAAAAGTTTTACGAATTTTATCAATTGGGAACGCGGCTCTTCCTCGCATTCATCACTCAAAATGTAGTCACTCGAAATGAAACTCATTGAAGAAATTTTTAGACTTGAACTTGAGGCTCTCGGAGACTCGACTGAGGTCTGGTACCAAGAACTTCCGAAAGCAAAGGACTAAAGGCGGCAAGTAGCGAAGAAACAACGTGGGAAACCTCGAAAAAAATATTAGAATGATGACCATAGAGTAGGAGAGAAAAAAAAAGAGGCCTGGACCAGTTTTCCTCGTCCCCACCGCGTCCCCAATTATCTTTCCACATCCCCTGGACCTGTTCTGTATTTAAAGCTTGGTTCACACAAGAAATGCAGGGAAGCATCAGATGTCAGATCAAATTAAAATATTTTGTTAAATTCAGAGCCAAGTAGGAAAATAATGCAATTTTTTGGGTGCAAAATCAGCCAAATAGCGCAGGAGGTTTGGTGAAGGAAAATGGCCTCAGGGAAGATTCAGAACTTTCTGCTCTGTTAGATGGAAAAGTCAGAAAAGGTGTGAAAAACGTTGCATAAATTTCAGTAAATAACATTGTACAGTGAGACCCCCATATGCAGACAATTCAACATAGGGACATTTATTTTTCAATTAAAAAAGGCCTGATATGCAGACACTGACTTGACATGTGGACATTGTATGATTAACTTGCCAATAAGTTTTAGGAAAAGTTACTT